ATAGCTGGCGTGGTAGGCCCGCACGAAGGCCTCGGCCGCGGCTTTGGTCGCCGCGTAGGGGTTTGTCGGGGCGAACGGGGCGTCCTCGCGCGTGGGGGCTGCGCAGCCGCCGTAGACCTCGTCCGTGCTCACGTGCAAAAAGCGCCGGAGCCCGCCGTAGACCCGCGCGCACTCCAGCAGCACCTGCGTCCCCAGGACGTTGGTCCGGGTGAAGGCCAAGCCCCGGGTGAAGCTCTCCCCCACGTGCGTCCGCGCGGCGAGATGGATCAGGCCGTCGATGGCCCATTCCCGCAGAAGGCCCAAAACCACCTCGGCGTCGAGGATGTCGCCGCGGTGGAAATGATAGCGGGGGGAATCCCCCACCCCTACCCCCCACGGGCCCGCGCAGTAGTCCAGCAGGTCCAAATTCCACACCTCCACCGCCGGGTCGGCCCGCAGGAGGTGGCGGATGAGGTGGCCCCCGATGAAGCCGCACCCGCCCGTGAGGAGCAGCCGCCGCATCGGGCGATCCCCCACGCCCCGGGGCGCCTCAACAGGCCCTTCGGAGCCCAACAGCGGCATCGCCTGCGTGGGATGCCCTCGCGCGCTCTAATCGTTTGTTGTTGTTGTTGTTTTTGGAAGGGGGAAAGGAAGAGGTTAAAATGTCCTTTCTTGTATTGAGTTAGTTGGTTCTGTAATAGGACACAGTCATAATAATGGAATAAGGTGTTGAATTGGTACTTCCACCACACAAAGGAAGTACTGGATAGATATATGGAAGGAGCTAAACGGGGAAAACAATTAAAGCGAAAAAGCACAGCAAATTTTGTAAATATCGGGAAATAGAGTGAAGAGGGGTGATTCCTTTGGATAAGTATACCAAACAGTATGGGAAAGAATTTGGTAATTCAGTATAAATGTTTTTTTTATAAGAAAAAAAAAGTGGGTGAGACAGAAACAGTTATGGAAAATCAAGCAGTCGCAAAACCGGATTAAGCATCTAACACCATATCAGGCACGGTGACATGGAAAGGTGTAGTCTTCCCTCCTCCACATAAAGGTGTAGGAATCTCTTGAATGTGAAGTAAGAACTTTCTCCTTTTTGTAAAATTCTTATTTTTATTATTATTTACTTTGGTTAAAAAGGTAAACAATAAAACACAACACATAGAGAGAGAGCAATAGCACACGAGATTGCACTCTTGTACCCGTCATCGCTTCGTCTTCTTTGACGGCTCTGGTTCCGTCCTGGCAAAAATTCCACGCCTGTTGAAAAATTCACAAAGTAAAAAAACGAGTTTACCACTCTCTACTCATTCCTTCCTTCCCCTTTCGGACGTTTTGCTCTTCTTTTTTTATGGTATAAAGTTTATTTGGAGCTCGCGTTCGTGTTCGCATGGCTGCGCGCGGTAATGGTGATCTTCTTCACAGAAGGATGGATTGAGCGCTCGATTTTGTCAGCCTTTTTCTTATCGGATACGACAAGGGTGTAAAGGTAGCGGCTGCAGCGGACCTTAAACTTGGAAACCTTCGGATTGTGCTTGACCTTCACGCAGCGCGCGTCCTTGCGGGAGCAAATCGCAAGAAACTCCTTCAAGTTTTTGATCTCGCGCGGCATTTTGTTCCTTTATTTTATTTTAATTTTCCTTTTTATGGGGAATAAAAAAGAGGGGGATCGGCTCGCGTGTGAATTTGTCCTGCCTTACTATGAGAAATAAAGTATATTTTTTAAAAAATGGAGTACCACACGTGAAGATATAGAAAAAAGGATATTTGAGATGAGATCATGGGGAATACAAAACCTCCTAAAGTGCTATCCAAAGGTGTACCTGCATGTGATATACATACGCAGGATGATTATTATTACTAATATTGTAATGAACAAAATATTAGACTGAAAAGGTTGTAATAACAGGGTTGAAAAAGTACCTGATATATTTTTAGCATATGTGATAAAACTGATAATTTCTGTATGCGTTAACGTGGTCTTGGACCCATTACTCTTTCCTTATATATATATGAATTGGTATATATCACTGTATACCAAATTGATATCATCTATGATCTCACATCTGCGCTGTTATACGCATCAGAATGGAATAAAATGTCTAATCTTCAAACACGAATCACGCCATCTATTCTCAAAAATAAGCGTGTGTATTAAAATAAAAGGAATACACCCTTATAGGGCGGTAAGTCTATATTTGCGTGTGTGTGTGTATATGTATGTATTTAAATATATATGAAAATAAAAAAATCTATCTAAGAAATAGTATGTAATTATTATCCAAAAGATCGCATGCAGCCTTAAACTCCGCTTGCCTGTGGATCATCGCCCCTCTCCGCCTTTTTTTTCTTTTTTCAAAACGTCAACCCGACAATCCCCCGCAGCTCGCACAGCACCGCGGCGAACTTATTCTCGCTCCCGTCGAGCCCGCAGGCGAGCATCTCCCGCCGGAGGTCCTCCCCGCGGGCGATGAGGGCGGCCTCCACCGCCGGAAGGGCCCACCCCCCGCGCAGGGCGAAGACCTCCTCGAGGCCGCGCCGCTGCGGTCGTGTGAGGATCCCGAGGTCGGCGAGCCCGTCGATAGCCGTCGCGACCCCCCCCTCCCATAGAGGGGAAGTGATAGCGCGCCATCAGCGCCGCGTAAACCCCATGGACCTGCCGCCGCGTGAAGGAGAAGGAGGCTGTCACAGAAGATGCCACAGAAGATATCACAGGAGATGACACGGAAGAAAACGGCTTCGCCTGTTTCGCGTGGAGGGCGATAAGGCAGCTGAGGACGTAGAGCATCTGCTCCGGCATCGTCGCGATGTGCTCGGCGAGGTGCTCCTCGGCCGCGCCGGACTTCAGCAGGCGCGCGCTCCCCGCCAACGTCACTTCCCCCCCTGCCGAGGCCGGGCCGAAGGAAGAGGCGGAAGCGGGGGAAAGGGGGGGTTTTAGGACGCCGCGCGTGGGGCGAGAGGGGGAGGGGGCCGCCGTCGGGGTGGTGGAGTGGGCCGCCGCGAAAAGGGACGAGGTGCTCGAGCGCGACTCGCTGTGCTCGCCCGCGGCGGCGGCGCTGCTCGTGCTCGCCCGCGGCGTGGGAAGCTCCTCACTGATGGTAGGATCAGGAATCGTGTCGGTTTTGACAGGGCTCGTATTATGAATCGTTGTTGTCGTCGTTGTCGCTTTCACGTTCGTTTCGCCGTTAAACGCGGCGTGGACGATGCGGCGCCACATCACGGTGATCTGCCGGACATCGCCAGAGTACTCAAGTAGGGCCTTTTGCGCGATGTAGTTATGAAGGCTCGC